GACCTGTATGGGGAGGACATATGGTCCTCAACCCAAGGAGCCAAGCGTCCTGCTGGGATTCACTTGAGGATGTATTGCCCTACCTGGAGGCGACTCTCCCACCCACGTTTTGGAGACGCACAGCACTCCTGATAAAACGTGCATCGAGTTCTGGCTTAACACTTTCTGCCTGTGATTTAGGAAAATTTTAACCCCCAAAATGCGACTTACCCAGTTTACCAAAATCTCACTAGTGATAAAAGTGCAATACATGACCAAGACAAAATTTTATTCTCTGTATTTTGATTATTAAAATCTACCAGTCAATACCATTTTGAGACACATTTGTGCAAAGATTTCCCCCCTCCTTCCCCAAAAAAGTAGTTACCTGGTATAATTTTATGATAGAATATTTTTATAAAATCATTTGTACTAATTTAAGCATTTATCATTATATGCAAAAAGATTTCTTGATGAGAATATTATAGACGGTGCATGTTTTTGACATTAGCATTTTATTTGGATGACTAATCTTGCAGATGTGAAATTTTAATGAATTATTCATGAAAAATCTCTCCTCTGAAATTTCAGTTTGCTGCTAATGCTAGTTATTAAACATTTTATTTTTCTTTATAAAACTTGATGAAGAAAATAAATGTGTGCTTACTCAAAAGAAAAGAAGATGGGTTCTTCCATTAAAGTTTGTCTCAGGTGACAGCGTGACTTGAGACTTTGCTCCTCATGGTTTTGTGGACCAAGAGGTTGATCCTGCAAACCCCCTTTGCGTACGTACGCTACGCGTGGAACCCTTCCCACTGAAGGCAGCAGCGCAGCTCCCATCAGGGAACTCCACTTGGAAGGATTTGCATGAGGAAGTCCCAAACCCCTTCTATCATGCTTTCCCCTTTGGAGTGGAGTCCAATGAGAAAGAAAATACCCTCCACTCCCCATGACCCTAATGGTCAAACGCCGATGGACTTTCTTGGAAAAGTGGATGAGTTCTTTGATGACAGCATCTTCTTCCAGAGCTCAAACATCAACAACTGCCCTGTCCAGACCAGCCATGAAACCACCGCTAACACGTATGGAAACTGGATGTGGTTGGGGGAGTCTCAAGGAGAGCAATGGGACCGCCCACGAAGGTGCTGGGACATGGGTGAGATGCAACCAGCAGCTCCATGGGTCAGTGCTGGGGCCCGGGACCTCAGGGGATGCAACACGGGAGTCATTGAAGGGGGAGGAAAACAAACCAAAAACTTAGGACGTGGCAACTCACATTACCAGTGTGAACAACCAGCATTTTTATTGCATTTGAGAATGCTATAATGTCAGTAATTAGTACTGACTACACAACATTTTTTATTGTCTGTATCAACAGACATGGAATGATGGAATTACAGTTGATGTAAGGAATGAGTTTCTTTTATGCCTTATCAAAAAAAAAAAAAAAAATCTTGTTACTGGCAGCACATACACACGAAGCACCATGCTAACAGTCTGGACTGTACCATTTTCATCAAGGCTTATGGGTAGAAGATACTTTGTTACCTGTTCTGGGCCCATTAAAATGCAGTCGTTAACTGCAAAGTCACCTCGCAAGACTAGAATACTAAATGACTTCTGAAACATCTAAAAACTCACTCTGAGTTCATTAACCAAAGGTACCAAACAATTCCAAAAGAGTTTGAACGCATTTTTTTTTTCCATGCTATAATGAACGTGAGATTATCGTCGATCTGAAAACTATAATAGTTCAAAATTATTTTTAAAAACTTTATATATATATATTTATGTAGGTATATATATAAAATATCTAATGATCTGCAATATCTGTAGAACCAGAATCCCTGCCCCGGTCTCTTCCCGAAACGGGAGCTCCAAGGGAGGGGAGGTGCAGGATCTGCGGCGGGGGTCCTTCGGGGGAGAATACAAATTTTTTTGTGGTCACTTATTCTACATAAGCCTTGATTTTTCATTTGACTTCTAGTTGAATGCAGAAACCTAACAGGTTTTACATTTACAAACTTTTTTTTTTTTTTGTGGACAAGGAAGGCTTTGACTCTCATTCCTGACAGCGATTTACCTGATACATGGTACTACTTTCATAATGTACGCTTTTCTTTGAGAAAAAAAACATGTAACAAATTGTCTTTACATCTTGGCACCTTGTAAAGTTTTTTTTTTTTTTTTATACAAAAGTTCAATAGTTTGACACTCCCCATTATTAATCACTACTTCACTGATAAACTTTGAAAGTGTGACCCTGGAATTCATCATGCAAAATATTTACTGCAGCAGGAGAAAAACATTTTTTTTTTTAACGACTTTTTTTTTTTTTCCTTTCAAATATATGAACTTTGTTTAAGACAGCCAGAAAAGGCAGTGGTAAGATAACAGAAGGGGTGGGAAAGTATCAAAAAAAACAGCTTAAACACAAAAACTGTACAAAAATGCTTCGATCAATGATAACAGGAGAAAAAAAAAAATCTGTCAACTATGTTACAATTTAAAAGCTGAAAAAAAGAGTCAGGGATTTTCTCCCACATGTCAGCAAATGTCATCCAATATTCTTAAAGCAAGGATAACTAAATAAAATACATGTGCAGCGTATTCTGCAATTCCATTACATACAGTAGTTTTTTTTTTCAAAGCTATTTTTTTAGTATAGTTAATATAAAGCAGTTGCACAAAAAGCAAAAGGTGTTTTGACAAACAGGTCTGCATTTATTCCTTTTGAGGAATGATATCTAAAAAAAGGACCTTTCCACCTTTTCCTCCCTCCCCACCCTCCCCCCGAAAGACAAAGGCTCACACAGACACAGTGGGATATATATGTACAACATAATAAACCCCTCCCTAAAGAAGCAACTGTATATCCAAAGGGATACAGAATCAGAATTGTAAAAATCATAGTGAAGTTTGCTTGATGTAAAGCCTGAGATTTTCAGTTGGTTCTTCTGCAAGGCTGCGACACCTGCCAGATATGTTAAAATCTAATTTTTTACTTCTTTTTCTCTTTTTTTATTTTTTTTATTTTTGCTACAGTCTTTAGACTAAGCATGCAAGACATACAACTAAGTGCAACTGAGTGAAATGTATTTTTTATTTACTCATTCCCTAACAGTTTGGACTGAGGTATGCGTACTAACAGTTTCTCATGCTGTTATCTTTACTCATGTCTAGCTACACATGCTGAGAATGAACTAATCTACCGGATTTTTATCCCCTTCTGAATACCAAACTAACCAGCAAACCACTCAGTTTAGAAGCGCAGGGCTCAATTCTCATGATCCCCCATCTGGCTACCGCCGGCACGTCACGAAGCTGCCTGGATATAATTTAAATGAAAAAAAAAAAAATGTTTCAAATGACCACAGACTGCCCTTTTTTTCTCTTTTTTTTTTTTGTCTTTTGAAACAGAAAGCAGAGTTGAGTTTTATAAAAGTAACTGCCAATAAAATTTCTTGTACCAAAGCTTATGAGTGGACAGGAGTGTTATTTCCTTATGAAAAATGCTGACCAAAAACTAAACAAAACTGAGCAAACGTGCCAAGATCAACCAAAACTAAAGCAGTCATCCTAGCACAGTCCCGAAACAGAAGTGGCACACAATCTGTAGAACCAAAGACCAAAAAATTTTTTTTGTCGTGTAATTCTAGAAATACTATTATGTGGTCCAGTTAAATTGTGGGAGCTTTTCTGTTCTCTTCTGTATTTTATTAAACTGTCTCCTTTATCTGATACTCTAATTTTCCACGAACTAACGGTGTCTTTGCTTTCTCCAGCTCCCTTCTCATAGCTCCACCAGTAACACTGATTCCTAGTTTTAGCCTCAAAAGCTCTCCTCGATTCCTCTTTACAGACTTTCATTTTGGTCACTGTAAAGAATTGCAAATAAAAAGTAACAACTTTGGTTCAGACATCTACTTGGCCTTCTAAATTTTCTAGAATAAAGGAGCAGTTTCCCTCTCAGGTTAGCAATAGCCCACATCTTGTCATTTCCCTCTAAATTCTTCAACCTCCTTTGATCAACAATAAGAGGATATTTGGCTTCATAAGATAAAGCATATAACAGAGAACATAATTTACCTTTGTGTAATATCTTTGGTAATTTTAGGAAAAAAAAAGGTATAAAGAAGAATATAAATTAAGCTCTGAAAGGCTTTTTGAAATAATAAAAAAGCTACAGTCCTACATAAATAAATGAGTGACGGAAAAGTGGTTGCAGAATGAAAACATTTAGGTGTTTGGTGACTGAGGTTTACTGACCTATCGCAACGAATTTTGTATGTCGTGTTTGCTTTGAAGAGCCTTGCCAGTTTTGCCTAACAAGCCCCGGCGCCAAATCTCTCCCAGATCTCCCATCTCCTATGGCGAGGTTTGCATACTGGCTGGTGTAATATTGCATAACAATCCTAACTGCAGTACTGCATTTGCACAGCCGAAAATTGACACTTTAGCATTAGTGGGGCTCTGTCCCTATTAACTCCCGTAACAAGTTCAATCTGAAATCTAATTTGTATTCAAACAGATTAATGCCACCAAGCAATCCTGAACTGATGTTTAACCGTGAAACATCACCACGTACAATAACAATTTAATCAAGTCGTCTTTCCAACCACTATTTGCAAATGCAAGAAGAAAAAAACATATTGTAATAACAAATGTATAGGTGCCCATCTCGGTAATCTTAGATACTCCAGAAAGACTCGTTGACCCATTAGAACTCACGTTAAACAACCGAGAACCTGCCACTGTACTATTCATTCTCTAACAAAAGTGAACTCTGTTGGTGCTGCATATGTTTCTTTGTGCTGTTCAGTTTTGTGGCATTTGCTAATATTCACCATTGCTGCCAAAAAAAAAAATAAAAATCAAAAAACCCAAACCAAAAAAATAATAATATTTAAAATACTGCTTTGTGGAATGAATCTGTGTTGCTTCCTACAGTGTTTCTATGTTCATCTGTCATTCATTCTCATTCTTGCAGTACTTCGTTCCTCTCTCTCCGTTGGACAACCCTTCCACATGTATAGTGCAGCATTTGGGACCTTTTCAAAAAACAACAACGTAAAAAAGGAGACACCGAAATGGAATGTTTTCCATAGCTAAAGAAAACATGGTGGCATCTGAAGGAAACTGGAATGAATGACAGAAAAAACTACAAACAATTCAATGACATTCAGCTTCGTATAATAAAAACACCTATTAACATTCATCACAAAGTACAGAAAACGTTGAAGCCTCCGAGAGGCCCTGGGCCCAGACGAGGCCTGAGGTCAGAACTTAAAATGGTAGAGGAGAAGTGGGGCGGGGGGAATAAAAGCAATACATTAAAAAGTTTGGGATAATTTTTTTCTTTTAACCCCTCCCCGATATACACACTCACACGCACACACACATATCCACACACGTGCACACACAAGCCTTCCCCATCCCAAATGGAAGCGGAAAAAAAAAAAAAAGAAACCAAAAAAAAAAAAAAAAAAAAAAAACCAACAAAAAAAATGGAGTAAAGGCAGTGATAATCAACATGCAGTACTGTGCAAATATGTTGTCCATTGGAATCCTTAAAATCTGGGCAAAGACTTGATCTGCAGTTCAGGTGTACATGCTCAGTTTGACGTCCTCGAGTGTCCAAAATTGGCAGGACCTGCAGTCCACAGCTGGCTGCTAAATGCAAGTGAATCAGTTTAGCAAATTTACAACACTGATGTTGACTGTAAGAGAGGAAAATCCCAAGTACCAAACAAGTCCATCCAATGCACAGAGTACAAATTCCTTTTTTCAACAAAAAGTAGAAAAATCAAAAATACTCCCAAATGGGATACTTGATGGCACTAAGAGTTAACATATTTCATAGTTGTCAAAGTGGACTGAGAATCCTCCAGACTGTACAATAATGGAGAGATTTCACAGCTAAGTTTGACGTGTTCATCCAATCTTCATTCTCAGTATAACGATGTCAGACATACTCATTCTATGTCCTCATTTACAGGTTCATCTTCATAATCTCTGTCGTGGTCGAAATCTGGACTGTGGTTGGCTGTTGTCACTAAGGATAACGGGCCTTCATTTTCATCTGGATCTAACGGTTCTTCTTTGACATGCACGGGGTGCCTGGAAAAAACCAAAACCATGGTCAATCAGCAAGTTGCTCATTAAAAAACTGTTTTGACAGCTTGGGTGGGGTGGTGTGGGTGTTCAGACCCGGTGTGCCAGGCCTAAGAGCTCCAGGTCACCAGGGAGAAGACCCTCAACTTCTGCGCTGGCCACCAAAGCCAAGCGAAGGCTATGCCGGGCAGGCAGCGCTCAACTTCCCCAGGAAAACACTCTGGGAGGAGCACCTCGATAGGGTTTCCGTCTTGGGATCGAGAGAAAACGCTCTCAGCTGACATATTAAGTTGATTAATACAATCTTTGGATAAGTGAGTGGAATAAGCATCCGAAAGGCAACGCCGCAGTGTGTCAGCCCGCCGAGCCGGCGGAGGCTGGGCTAATCATCGCTCGCTGTGTGTGCGGCGTCTCTCGTTAACATGCAGAACCTGTGAGACAACTCTCCAGAGGACGACCCCAAGTGAGGTTCTATCATTAATCAACTTCAAGCAAACACAGCAAAGAGACACCATGATACATGCTTTAAACTCCAAATTAATGCATATTTTCACAAACTGTCAATAAGGGAAGAAAAGCCCTGCCAGGAAACACAAACAGAGAGGAAAAGGCTCGCTCAACACAACAATATGATAAGAAAGCACAGTCCTAACGAGAATAATAACACTGTCAGCTGTAAACAAGGCAGAACATGATCCCCAGCTCACGGTGGGCACAAGGATGTACTAAAGAGATGAGATCTGCCAAATTTCTCATTACGGCATAGCACATGAATAACCCACAGGGGAACGGGGCTTGGTCATTCCAAATGGGCATGATAACAATTGAAAAATGTTGTTCGTAAATCATATTTACAACAAATCCTATACAAATACAAATTACCTTTTTTTTTTGGTCTTTTTTTTTTTTTTTGTTCATCGGCTTTTGAAATGTAAAATAGCCATGTGAGTCAATAGCGTCTTGTTGGTGGGACTTTACAGGAAAGTAGGATTTTATTGACATTACCAAGTATTAATAATGCGACACAGCAATGGAGATCCTGTTTGCTTCCTAAATAATTAATGTTGTAGGCAATCCCTTAAAATAAAGTGTTAATGAGTTCAAGTCCCACTCTGTCTCTCATTGAGTTGATATCCACCTCCTCTTGTTTTTTCTCCATGCAGGCTGATTTAACCCTTTCACGTAGGCTACGCGAAAACATAATCTGAAGCACAAACCTTCATTGTAAGAACAACTTCTCTCCTTGCACAGCTTTGCTTTAAAATGAATGATTTAAAAGAGCTGCATTTTATTTTATGTTTTGTGTGGACAGGAACTGCAATATTATTTGAACTCTGTTGCACTGATGGACAGCAAGAATAAATCACGGAACAGGGAAAACGTACTCGGTATCCACATGCAAGCCAAAGGTAACCCTGCCTGTTTCAAGTGACCAGGGTGGCACAGCTGTACCCTTGCACAGTGTGCCAAGCTGTACCAGACCCTATTTATTTATTTCAGCTTGAGCCTGGATCAGTTTAGGAAGCATCTAACTTGCTGACTACACACATTTCTCATGTGAGCAGTGAATGCCTTTCAAGACACTGCATATTTCAGCTTCTTGAGTTGTAAAGTGCTAGATCAATACTTAAGTATTAACTGTACCTTCCAGCCCATCCAACAAAGGAACAGTGGGGAGAACTGATGCAGTATCCACACACACACACCTTTTCCCTTCAAATTCACAAATACTTGTCCTATCAACACATCCCTGGGAGCAAAGAGGTTCCTCTGCATGCCGCGTGATTTTTGCAAAAATTACAAGGAGAGGGACATTTGTTTGCACAATTTTGACCTAATTAGTGAAAAAGGGCAGGGGGGGAAGACTGGAAGGAGACGATTCAAATATCAGAGGTTAAGAATCATCTTAAGCATATAAAAGCCTTGTGAGTCGATTGTCACCTCAGAGGTGTGCATGTGCTAAACGTCCAGGAGGCTCATGGTCTGAGCCAATATGAAACCATGCTGATTATTTACAAACAGAAAAACTTGTGTTATGAATAGGCTGATCAGCCCTTGGGAGAAAATGTGAAATGAGAAACAGAAGATAAAGGGGGAAGGAGCAGCTACACATAGAGACCAACAAAGCGTGTGCAGCCTGGTCTTTATGGCAGTGATCTTTTCTACTGCTATTTTAATTTAAGTCTTGCTTGTTGGCTTTCTGGTTTTGATGGTGCTGGTTTAGGGTTTTTTTTTGTGTTTTTTTTTTCATTTGCGTTTTTTTGGAGAACACAGATGGGAAGTTTTGAAAGGAGAGAGGAGAACGCACGTTGTGCGCAGCAGAGGTGGCCTCAGCACATGGATGGGAGTTTCTCCAAAGGCTGCTCAGTGTCCCACCCCATCCCCACACCACCTTGCACTTGGCCAGAAGGCAGAAGTGAACAGGTGCCAGCAGATAAGATGGGTACCCGCTGAGCTCGCAACCATCCGAAATGCTGTGAAAGGTCCTTCAAAGGTCCCCGAACCTTTCCAAAGTAAACTCTGCCCCTCTTCTGGTTTTGTTATGAAAGCAGGTGAAACCAGGCGGTTTTAACTGAGTTTCTCTTTGAGGTTTGGTGTGGTTCCCAGAAGTCAAAAAAACCCAAAACTTGAGGAGTGTTTTCACTCCTGCAAAGCAAAGCAAGCACCAAGTTATGAAAAGGGCTGCTCAACATCGAGCAAGACAAAGTTGGAGAGGGCCACAAAGCCATGAGGAGGAACAGCCACACCAGCCTCCTCCAGTGGCTCACGTGCTGGACGAACATCAGATGGCGAACTTGGCAAAAACTCCATCCCTCAAATTAGGAGGGTTATCTGGGTAATACAACCCCTTGGGGAGAGATCTGCATGGAAAACAACAACAAAAAAATTCAACTCCTTGTGTACTCTGTCAGTTTTAGCCACAAAGTGGCATGTGAGGAGGAAATCTTACTGAATCCGTGATTTTGCAGAACCATTTCAGAGTAACTGAAATAAATAAGCTTAAATAAGCTCAAAGGCAAAGGGAGACCTTCACCTCTCTCGAGTAAGTCTGAATCTCTATTTACCACCTCACCAAAACCCCAAACTGGGGAAGGAAAACTTCCTTTAGAGACTAAAGAATTCAGTCTCTTGAATTACAGAAAAGGTAAACGCTGGGCTAGGCAAAAAGAAAAAAAGAGCGGGTGGGGGGAGGAAAAAAAAAAAAAAAGAAAGGGTTTCCCATTTCTTCTTTATAGTAGCAGAATTTCAGCACATTCCTTTTAAGTAGACGCCTAAGACTCCAGAAGGGGTTAACAATAAATAACCTTGCTGAGCACAGATTCCCCTTCTTTTCACATCTGAGTAATTCTTTTGTTTGTCCACTCTGGGAACAGAGGAGTTTTTAATAAAGCTGACTGTTGTTTAAAGCCACTGAGTTCTGGTGGTGCACACAGCATGGAGTAGTTTGCTTTGTGGCTACCTTTGGAGCACATCAGGATGAAAGTGTTATGTCCCCAAGCTGTAATTATGCGACTACTTTCTAGTGTTTCAAAAGGAGAGAGAGAGAGGAAAAAAAAACCCCACCCTAGCCGTGGTTCAATGTGTCATAAAAAGGAAACGAATGAGCGGTAATAAGACTTCAGCTAAAGTGTTAGACTTCTTAGCTGTCATGTTAACAAGGTCCTTTAAACCTTACAATAAAGTTTAAAGCTTGATTTATTCTAATATACTGAAGTTGTTTAAAAAATAATTTGCATTATGACAAGGAAATCTGTTCTGAGAAAAAAATTGAAAATGTCATTAACAAAGCAGACTTATGGAAAATAAGAGGTTGCACGGCGTCTGGAAATCTGCTGTTGATGCACGATTTTATTTGGTAAACAGGGCAAAGCCCGCAACGTGTGAACGGCGTTCTGGCTTTAGATCCCTTCAAACTACTTAGAAACACTATTTTAATGGGGAAGCTCAGGCTGGTATTGGAACATCACCCGGCCACGTTTTACTTAAGCAAAAAGAAATGTTCAGCAGAGAACACATATATTATCAATTCCGAGAAAATGAAAACACTCAGGAAACAATCATTTCCATATTACAACAGAAAATTGGATTTTCTGGTGAATAATGAAAATGAGGCATCCCTCCCCCCGTCTTCCCCTCTCTCCAGTATTTGTTCGGTGCCCCTCACCTTGGTATCAATGTGCTAAGAGATGATTATTAAGTGCAACAAAGGCCACGGCTACGCACGGCTCTGGAAGATGTCCTAGCCTGTTTTAACTCGGTTATTTTTCCTTCCTCGCAGTCTCTTCAAAGACAACGAAACCTTAGGTGAAATGAGAAGTGCATGAACTACACTAGCCCTGAACTCGCAAAAAAATAATTACTTGGATTAACGCAACATCATAAACGTTCATCCCTGCCTGTTAGGCCAGGAGAAACCCTTGGGAGAAGCCTTCTTTCTGGAGAAAAGCCACGTCCCCTCCACTCCTCCTTCACGCCGGGCACGGGCAGAGGATAACGAACGGTGACTAAAACTGCCTGGAGAGCCATCCGTCTGCGAGAGGCGGAAAGTGTGTCATGCAACGCGACTTTGGGAGAGATAATTAATGCTGCACAAACAACCGCTGCGAAAGCTAAACACATTATTGGAGTGTTTTGAAGTAAATGGTAAAAGACAATGTTTAAATTAATTATTAATTAAAAATGAATGTTGCCATCTTTAAAGATTTCTTTTTTTTCAAAGCGCTTTATGCACTGATTTAAAATGCTGCAATATCAAAGTATCCAGAGCCTCAGATTCCTTCGTGCCCCCTCCCCTCTGACAACACATTATGCAGGTGGGAAACTTTTTTGCCATTAAACGCTAATTACTTTCACAACTAATTACTATCGTGGTATTAGGTTAATGTTTTTCTACTTTTTGATTTAGACTTACTTTTGCAAATCCCTTATTCAAACTACTTTGAAGTAGAAGACTAGAAATTAGTTCCCTTTTTGATGCACAGTGTGAGCTGTGGCGAGTCAGCCAGTAACTTCTCAGCCCGTTTTAAGGAACGGGCAGAAGAACGGCCACGCGGCCACTGGCCCAGGCAGCCAGCCGCTCCGCGGAGCTTCTAGAGAAGTGCAAGACTTACAAACTCTTTGGCTTCCTCGCCAGCTGCCACTTACCCAGTATGTGATGAGAGGGGAGGGGGGAATTTACAGCTTCGCAAACTCACTCCGTCACCCCATAAATACCAAACACACCCACTGGGGCATCACACCCTTCCTGCCTTGCCCCCTCCTGCGCCAGCTCGCTGTCCGGGTGCCATTCACGCCGAGCAGGGACAGCGATCCCCCATTACTGCATGTGGTTATATATGCACTCATTATACTGCCGTCTGTTGCTATAATGCTCCTATTAATTTTCCTTTTGATATTTTAAGAGCAATCTATAAATCACGCAGACCTTCACGTGTGCCATCATTAATGCTTGGCGAGATCGTTGACTGTCGAGTGGTTCTTTCAGACCCACCAAACAAGCCCATTTCCCAGCTCGGCCCCACCGGCTGTGCTTGTCGCATGGACTGAAGGAGAAACAAATCACTTGGTTTTTTTTTCCCCCCAAGAAACACAGCTCCCTATGAGGTTTTGCAAAGTTTAAAGGAGAGAATCGCAGCGAATTAACAATTTGATAGCTCAGTGTGCTTGTCGGACTGGACTGAGCTGATCGGTTTTACGTGGTAAAAAGCTGGTAAACAGCCCTTTTACGTTCTAACCAACCTCAGCACATCCCCAGATGGAGACATCTGCTCTTGCTGCTCCATCCATGAACCTCAGGAGCAAACCATGAAGGTCTCCAGAGTCACACAGCAGACAGTAAGACAACATCCAGAGCCACGCACGCGCCTCTGCTGTACTTACATCGCTTGCATAGGGGAACGTCCTGGACTACTGTCACTCCCGTTACTGTTCGTATGCTCCATTGCACCATTAAGCTCTTCCCTCATCGCGTTGGCTAAGTTGCCCAGAGTGGGATTTCCCATGGAAGCAGTAGTGTATAGAGGTATACTGTTCTCAGCCATTGAAGCCTGCCAAGGACACAAACAAAAATATATGAAAAATATATGAAATGACTAACGTTTTTATACATTGTGCGACACACTCACTTATCCCAAAACATTATTCACATTTGTATTATTTGCAATTACTGTTTTTTAAAATGTTGTGCTTTCTGACAGGTATTACCCTGATTCCACCAAGGGAAATTTAACAGCATTTACATGTGAGTTTGAGCATTCATAGCTGTATTGGCTTGCGAGAAGATGAAGCCTTCCATTCCCTATTTGGAATTACATCTCCTGGAAAAAATAAAACATCCTTTTCCTATTTTCATTTTGCAAAATTATGTTTGGGGCTTTGGATTTTTTTGTAGCTTTGTTTTGTTTGTGGTTTTTTTTTAATGAAATGTGGAAAAAAAGTAGAAGTTGCTGAGCTGGTAACTCCTTCCTATCATGGCAAACGGGCACCAAGCGGGAGGGCAGCATTACTGAGTTTGGTTTTTCTCGTGACACAAGTGTAAAGCTCCAGTTAGCACTAACTGGATCAGTCTGAGTCGCAGTGACCCACCTGAGTGCTGAAGGAGACCGCGTGAAATTTTTTAAGCCTCAGCAACTCAGCTCTCACCTTAGCTGTTACAGATCTGACCGTTTTACTTTGATTTTTCCACATTCTAATGAAATAGCATGCAAAGGCACACTGGAGTTAACTCTCTAAATGGAAATCTTTGCAGGAAGAAAATGAACTGCTGAATATTTTCTGATTCCCACCGTCCTGCCTCCTAATATTTACTGTGTGTCGGCATTAGCTCACGTTGACGGCACAGTCCTGTGCCCGGCGTGGCATCGGTGGGAGGGCAGGAGCCCCGAGCCCTGGAGGAGCCCTGCGTTTGGCCAGGCCAGGATGCACGGCTTTCCAAGGCAATAGTGCCCAGGGACTCGAAGGACATTTAACCATTTCTCTCATCCTGGCCGACATCATCCTCAGCTCTGAGCACCGGAGAGCCACAGACGCTGCTCGGCAGCGCTCGACCTGCTCCGGGGGAAGGTCAGCCGGCTGCGGCGGCGGAGCCAAAAAAATCCATGAGGCTCCGGGTCTGCGTGATGCAAACCCTGCTTGTGGGAGGGGAATTCATGCAAACGCTGAACGCTCCTGCCTGCTCCTAATTTGCGGGACAAAACTCCTTGCTTGTTGCCATCTGAGGTGGCAGAGCTGTTCCCAGGGAAGAAAAGCCAGACACTGGGTGGGGGGAGATGGGATGGGAATAACGGGGGCATGACCAGCCCTGACTGCAGCATCTTCAGGAGTACAGCCCCTTTTATTCTCCCTTACGTTGACCTCTCCATGTGCAGCCCTATGTGCCACACGTGATTACAAAAGCCATTCTAACGGGGAGGATTATTTTTATCTTCTTGATTCAACAACCGGCAAACTCATTGTGATTAGGGGATGCAAAGAATGGTTCGCGTTTCCTGCACTTGGCAAAAGAACGACTCAAGTTCTTCGCCCACAGTGATAACTTGTAATCACAGTAAAGCAATTTACTGAGGGAGAGGTGGGACACGAGAGGAGTATCTGCTATAAAGATAATAACAGGGAGGGGGGTGTTCTGGGACCCCCCAGCGACCTGTTGGGAAAAGAGAGCACTGGAGTCCCCATACCTTCCACAGACAGAGCTGGGGGAGAGCTGCGGCTTCTCCCTGGCTGCGTGGGAAAAGAGACATCGGGGACGTCGGGGGGGTCTGGGTGAAGGAGAGAGGCAGCTCTGCCACCCCCGCAGCAGAACACAGCCTGGCACTCCACTGTCCCCCGCCGGCGGAGAGGCGGCCGCTGCACTCGCGGGGACGTGTGAAGAGCCGGTCTTTGCAGACACCCGCAAAAACCCGGGGAATGCTGCTCATTAATTATTAATTAGACTGAAGGTAGGAACGCAGGCACTGGCAGGTAAAGTGGCCTTGCGTCCCAAGAGGAAGGTTATGACCGAGCGAGGTCCGAACTGCCCACGCGGCACCAGCCATGCGCACGGCTTCACCCAAACCCTGTACAGCACCCGAGCACCCGCCAGGATTTGGCCCCCAAGATCCAACGGAGGGGGAGAGGAGCGAGGAACCTGCTGGTGTATTTTGCATCTAAACAGGGACCTGTCTCAGTGCAATGAGTATTGCTCACCCCCACTGACCACAGGGGTCACCCGAGTGGGAGCAAACCCAGCCCAGGCTCTTCTCTCCATCAACTCCGCTCACATGATGCTACGGGGGGGCACGAGTACGTGCCACTTCCAGGAAAAGTGGGAAACGGAAACAGTTTGGAGGTTATCACAAAAGACAAGAATGGATGGAGATGACGACAACGACACGTGTTTCAGAAATAAAACACGAACAGTTCCATATGATAAGCATATTAATTGAAATTAGTCACATAGTTAACAACGTGAAGAAATGCAGGATCGTTCCGTTTTTGCCTTTCAGCCTCATGAATGTAAAATGTGCTTGTAATCTTAATACTATTCAAGAGACAAAGCAGCCTTTAAAAATCACACTTCACAAGACTCAAGGGAAAATAAGTTACTAATGAATGGTATTTACAGTTGCTTCATTTAAACATGCTTTCATTTGCTTTTCAGAAGTTACTGCATAAACTCATGTAATTAGAAGAAATGCAGAACATTGCTTTTCTCCTAATAATCTGTTTCTTGGTTCTGGGAAGAGAAGTCTGCTAAACCTTCCACAAAACATGGTTGCCCAAGTCAATATCCGTGGCTGTCAGTGAACTTCTTGAGAAGTGACCCTCAACAAGCAACCGGGGTGCAACCACACACGGTGTTCCTCCTGGATTAATTCACTCTCTATGGAACAGGCTTGAGCCCCCACACAAACACTTTCCCCCTGCAAATTCAGGGCATGGTAATGCATTTGGATCTTCCATTCATATAGCAAATACTGACTTTACCCGGGGTTTTTTAGGTAAGACTCAGGAATTTGTAGAGAGGGGGAGAAAAAAAAGCCAACCTGATACGCAGCACATGAAAAAGGGCTGGAGATGCACATACTTTCAGGTTGCAAGTTATTAATTGTGCACCGACACTTTGTGTATTTCTGTATCGTGAAAAAACAGAATTTTTGTCTTACAATTACAGTACAGTTTAAACCAATAAAAATGATCTGGTTTCTTTTTTTTCTACAGGAATTGCGACATTTATTTTTTACCAACAATGGGAAGATATGCAAAAATAGCCCTTAAAAGAAAAGGGGGAAAAATGATCTGCTTTCTCTTTAAACCCATGAACAATAGAAGGTCACGTGCTGCAGTATCCTATCATTCAGCACATTAATAGCTGTGCTAGAGTAATTACACTTGTGGTATTTTTGCCTCAAGTGAAATTCTGAAATAAGAGGATGGAAATTATGATACTGCTGATAAATATTAATAAGTGAACTTTTAATTTTTTTGCCACAATATTCAAAATGCTAAGCATCTAGCTAATGCTGAAGCAGCCTGATATGTGTTTGCCTCCAGGGACTATGATGCTTTATGCACTTAAGAAAAAAGTTTAACGGAATTAAAATTTAATATCTAATTAGAGCAAGGCTAATATATTTTGAAATGAGTGGGGAAGACACACGCCTCTGTTGCATATTTGCTACAGTCATTAATCTTACCTGTAAAGCAGCATTGAGAGGTGTGCAGTAGGTGTGGCTGGTCTGTATGTTTTTAATAAGAGAAGGGTTACTGCATAAGAAAAACATAAAAAGGAGAGTTAAATGCAACCAACTTCTGCGCGAGCGTTTCAAGCACGTAATGCTTCCTCCCACACCAGAAAACTAGAGCTGAGACTGCTTTTCCACACAAGTTCTCTTTCGTTTCTTTTTTTTTTTTTTTTTTGATTTAAAGAAAATATCTGCGTTTTAGGCTACGGTTATCGTATTTGCCTTTACTAAATAAGGAACATCATTATCTCTCGACGTTACCTCGCCATGTGTTCTACTACCCTGCCTCAGTAGCACATCTTGGCATCTCTGCTCATTTGAGCTGCGTTCAGGAGAAATTCTCCAATATTCATCGTTGTCTGGGAGCCAGTTACCATGTAAAGGTCCATCACGAGGAGGCTATGATCAAAAGCATCGTGGCACATTTTGAGTACGACTTCATGCAACTTATTCTCCGCATCGCTGGCAGCAGAGTCCCTTGCGATGGAGCAGAGGGACCGTGACGAGAGAGGATTTGAGCCACATTATTTTCTGCCAGGCAAACAGGGAGTGGTCCCGGTGAGTGACTGCCTACGCCATCGCCCCAAAAAGTTTGGGGCTGTGGGCATGGAGGCACGACAGCAGGTACTGCTGCACGGCAGCGCAACGGTACAGCCCACGCAAACCAACATGCTGCCCTAAAGGCCATTTTAATAAGAAATATTCTGATGTGCTATTTTGGACCCTTACTTTAGTCATCTTAAGTTTACGTAACAGGCCGGATTTGAGGAAAATGAATGCCAAGCATATCTGCTCTCTCTTTAGTGGGCATCTGAATACCACTGGTTCCACCAAAGGGGAAAAAAATAGTCATTAAAAAAATCATTGAATACAAACTAGATAAAAAGTGCCAATGCAAAAAAATCTCCAAAAAGTTTTGTCAGGACATTTTTATTTTTGTATTGTTTTCACGTGGGAGTAAATCATGGTGAGAAGAGTCTTAACTGAGCCCTTCCCACAGGGACCAGAGAGGATCAGTTGTCGTGGAGAGATGGCCTTCAAGTAAAGGTCAAAGAAAATTGCTTTGGGAACCCCAGAAATATTTGTGCACGGTTGTTGAAGACACAGGATGGCCTGTTGATTATAATCTTTGCAGCTGGTCTTACTGCACTTTCAAACTTTTTAAAGTTAATTCAGTGTTTCTATCTTATAAGCACCTTACACTATTTCTGATTAAGAGCTGCAAAAAAAGGCATACAACTGAAAGCAAAGGAAAATATCAGAATTAAAACTTATCTGAAGCCTTTCCTGGCACATATCTGTCTTCCTGACAGGTCTACAGCAGCTTATCTGCACTAGCATGGATAATTATTTTAGTCTACATTGCACTATAAGCAAATGCTATAACAAACATGTCATAGTAGAGCTATTACTACGGGCATTTGGATTATCAGAGTAGGACACACGAAACACACGTAACAACCAAAAATTTAGTTTCTTTAGCAGCAAAGGTGATGTCACTATTTTGTGAAATGCAAGTCTACATGAGATGGGTAAATCATGCAAAGCAAAGCAACAGCAGAAAAAAAAAATTAAAGCAAGTAAAAGCTCTTACTGTGCAACAAGCTCGCCAAAGTTTTCATCAGGGCAGTATTTTCGAGGACGGCCTCGTTGAATATGACGGCCACGTTTAAACTCTTCATCATCAACAGTCCAAAAGGACCCAAACTCATCCTCTACTCTGATAAAGCACTTATGCAGTGAGAGGTTGGTGCGAATGGCACCCTGGGACAAGAGCAGCAGCAAAGGAGATGAAGTGGAAACAAAGGGACACGGGATCGGGGACAGAACAGACATCAAATACAGGGAAAAGGAAAAAGAAAATAAAATGCAATAAGCATAAGCAAATGGTTTGTGAGGGTTAATATGCATTGCCACCTAAAAGCTACTAGCATGTGATGCAACAAACACCAAGCAAGCAGGGTCAGGGTACTGGTGGGCATACAAACAGTAGTGATGAGATGTTTGTCTTGGTTTCCCTTAACTGAAACAATGCGAAACCACCTGTGGTTGGTCTAACACCAGCTAGCAGCCAAAAGCCTCTACGTTAAACTGTAAGCATGATCCAAGCTAGGCTAAGAAGTTCAAACATGGTGGACATACCCACTGATCTTTTGTGGCCTTCGTTTTTGGAACTCTAGTTCATCCACTGTCCATACTGCCCCTTTAACGTTTTCTACTCGCACAAAACACTTGTGAAGACTAAGATTATGACGCACTGCATTCTGCAGCAAGTATAAAAGAGAAAACATTCAAAAACCTTCTATGAGAAAATGCTCATCATTGTCCAAGAACAGCAGCACAGTCAGCGTGACAGTCCTCATTTCGTAACGTTAAGCCCCTTCCCCTCCCCACACCCGCTTGCTTTCCCCGGCTTGTTACATCTTATTTTTGCAAAGACAAAATAAATATAAAAGCTTAAACCCAAGATTAGAAATTCAAGTTATTCTTATCAATTATCCCCAGCGTGAAGGAGAACAGCCATCATTTTAAGCATTCACGTTGTTATCATACAGCACATTTCATACAGAACACAGGAGAAACATCGCTTAAACATTTTCAAAACAAATATAGACGCTCTGCAAAGAGAAACTTGTCCTCTCCTGGAAAAGAAAGCAGTTAGAAAGAACAGCAAGGATTTCATGTAAGTACAGATGGCTCAGTTTCGCAGAGAGGCACTGGAGCTGGTGTTGCTGTGGTTTCCCACAGCTGGGCTAATGGGAATCAGGTGCTGAACCTCCTTCCACACCCACGGCACGGACCGGGGCCTCGGCAGCACCCACTGGCCGGCGCGGCACCGACTCCTGCCTCCACGGCTTGCTCTTATATGGAAGTTGGCTCCTATTTCTGGCAGGCTACTGTACTGACTGATCTGAGCCTCTGCCAAGTGAGAACATGAGGAGGGCTCTCCGAAACAAAGTGATAATATCCCCACAGCTCATCAGCCAGAGGGACCTGCGCTCATGGCATCCGATGCTCAGATGTCCTCTCTGCAGCTCGGCGCCGGGGAGGATGAGCGCGGCCAACCCCTCCGACGTGCTCCGACCTTTGCTGAGGCCAGACATAACGAGAGACCTCACTTTGTCACAGCAAGCTGTGGCTTTTCTGTCCCTACTTCCTCTGCAACGGTGCCCAGAGCCTTGTTATTCCTCAAGTGGAGTGCCATGCTCCTTCCCCAGTTTATGAGTTTTCTGAGCAAACACCCTGCTACAAAGCCACTCGGATTTGTACATGGAGCTTGTCCCCAGCGCCGCTGAAAGGGCCTCGGTAAACAGGGAGAACAGAAGAAGCCATTTGCTGAAAATACACAGGCGAACAAACTCCATCCATCATCACTGGCACCATTGATTTAGTCAATCTGGTTGACTCGTTAGCAGGCACAATGCCAGCCAAACACATGGCCTGGGTCTAGGCAACCAAGAGACTACAATTTCTTTTCCTTCCATCGTCATTGTCTCTCTTTTTTTTTTTTTTTTTTTTAATGAACATCGGGTCTGGATGGTGAAAGGGAGCTCTAATCATGAATGTCTAAATCACTGTGCAAACAAAGGGTATGCACAGTGCATTTGTCATGTAAATTAAGAGGCAGTGGTGTGTGTGCCTGGGAGGGAAAGGCTAAGAGTCTTTTCCCACTTTTCCATGTCTCTGCCATCCCCAGAGCACTCCCCACACTCCTGTTCCCTGGACAGGGGAAGAGTTGGGGCTCCAGCTGCCTTTGCTCAGCAGATGCTTGAGTGCAAACGTGTTTCCTCTGGCTGTAGGTGCCCGATCCTGGCACTTTGGCTGTTTCACACTGATCTGCTTGTGAACTGGTGGAAAAAACAAACCTTGAATACGCTCCTCCTCTCAGCAAGGCAGAAATCGCACAGAAAGTCAACCTGTCCATGAGGGCTGCTTCTTTCTGCCCCTACTTTCTTCCGTTCTTATTTTTTCAGTTATTTTTCATTCCTTCCCACCTCTCCCAGATTTCGCTAGTGTTGAATTTTTTGGCAAAATCCCTGATTTTGAGGTGGAGGAAAAACATGCAAACGTCCCACACCTCACGGGCTGAAATGAGCCAGCTCAGCAATGCTGGTGGGTGCCGCACTCGCGCAACCCGACACAGGGCTGCCGGCCCACATCTGGGTAACTCAGGCAGTTTCCTGTGAAAACTGTCAAGTCTGGAGCAAAACGTAAGAATAATAACGCTATTTCCCCCAGTGAAAGCTGATCTTGTAGTTCATACAGCAGTTGATCAAACGCACAGAGCAAAGTTGAGCGAAGTGAGCCCTCGGAGTTTGTAAACAGTCTCTAAACACACGGTTGAGCAGAAAGATGTGTGTTCTTCTTTAAATAAATTTAATGTCGGAGAAATACTTTACAGTCTGTTCTTGCTCTCTTGAAGTCAACGTGCAACTGATGGTTAAGGCTGCTGGATCGGGCTCTCGCTGAGACAGACGAGTTGAGTATTTGCAAGATGTCCATGAAGCGCTGCCCTCGCTTTCTATGTTCCATGTGAACGCTTACTTAAGGAATTCGTGGCAGAAAAAACCTGTTTTGCTTCCCCTGCCTCTGGATACTTGCTAACTAACAGTTTTATTTGAACAATACCCCAACATTTCGGAGCCACACCTGCAGCCTGTGCCTCATGGCTGCGACTCAGTGCCAGCAAATTACTCCAAAAAATAAAAGCAAACAGACATTGCCTCTGACCTGTCAGAACAGTGCTCCTCCAGCAATCAGCCTAACAGAAAAATTAGGAGCTATTATTGTAAGATTATATATTTACCTTGTTAAAAATATTTGTATGCAAGCCACTTTTGCAGAAAAATTACCCTGAACATGCTTGAATGTAGTAAATGAAAGGGTTTGTTATTTTAATAACTGCTCAAGCTCTGCTGTACTGCATTTTGGGAGAGAGGTTCACTTTTTAAAGGTCTTTATTCCTGCACTCCTCTGTGTTTTTGAAAGAGGGCTCAGGGAAGCTTGCCCACACCACACCCTGACCCTAACTTGGGCAACACTGACCCAAATGCCTCCTAAGCATTAGCTGAAGGTGAGAACAAATCAGCACATATATATTCAAATTATTCTGATTCTGCAATTAGCCCCTTGTGCTTGTTCTGCGCCCCGTGGGCTTCCCGTCATGCCAATCCAGAGCCGCGTTTCCATCCCTGCTGTTCCTGAAGGCTGGCATAAATCTCAGCAGTCTTCAGCACCAAAACCTCCATTACTTCAAGTGGTTGCTGATTTTGCTAGCACTGGCAGAACTTGGGGTGAATTTTTTTTTCCTGGGTAAGCAAAGCAGGATCTGGACACCTGCACAGGGTCAAAGTGTCCAGGAGGGGTGTCCAAATGGTACCTGCCTCCCCGGGACACACCTTGCCCTTCTGCAAGCCTGAGGGTCTGCAGCTCAGCCTCTCTCCTCCTCCTCTGCAGAAGCACGCTGTAAGTGCATGTGGCTTCTGGGACTGGATTTGACATGGTGCACAAAGCTAATTCCTAAAACCAGCCTCACAAGAGATACAGCCAGGGCTGCCTGCTGCCTTCTTCCACTCCCCTTCCCTTTGCTGCTGGAATTCAATAGGATTTTTACTTTAGCACCCACACCTGCAGCTGCAGAAAAGTCAGACTGGAACCACTCCAGCAGCAAAAGACAGGCAGGTCTAAAAGGATCTTAAATCAGGGAAAGTTAATTTCCTTTCTGGATAGTAAGGAAGCTGCAAAGTGAAAAACCGCTCACGTTTTCCGACTGCAGTGAAGAATCAAAGCAGCTAGTACAGAGGCTCTTCCTGAATCTAAGAGCTTCTAGATCAAGGTTGAACATGTACAAAATCGCATTGGGATCTGAATTAAAAGCAAAACATTTTACTAAAAACCAAGCTAACTTCCAAGGACTATTTTGAGATCCATCCTCTGAAGGAATTAATCCTAAATGCAGGCTGAGACAGGAAAAAACAGAAAGAGCTGATGAAACAGCATGTATGGGACATATTCATCCTACCCAGTCATTTGAAGCTGTTTGAGAGCAACAGAGGGGTTCAAAGTGCAATTTTTATAGTGATACAAGATCCTATTATTTGATTCATTCATTTGTAATCGCACTAGCTTCAGAAGCCAGTGTGGCTATTATAATGGTATACACAAGGGAAGGAGTGTCCCCCAAAATATAAAATAAAATTAACTCCCCAGACCTCTTATCTAACAATATCTGAGATGGTTATGGTAGGAAATTAAAGTGCCAAATATCAAGTTTATTTTTCTTAAACGCAACTCTTATTGTGAGGCTTGCTTCTTGTGTATTATGTTCAATAAGCTTCCGCTGTGTGATTTAAAAAAAAAAAAGAGGAACTTTATAACAGATCTGCACATGTAGTTGAGAGTCAATTGACTGAGGAAAGAAATCCACTTATCTATAGATCCTAGGCAAAAAAAGTGATTGTTGTGATTACAGTCTGCATAACTAAAAACAAAAACAGTATATCTTCTACTGACACAATAACTTTACCTCTTTTTTTTTTTTTTTTTTCCCTAATACATTCCAGCTGAAGGGCTTGAGTTTCACTGCTAGCAGCAACCACACAGAGGAACTCGTGGCATAATCACAGAATATAAAAGCCAATAATGGGGATTCAATTAGTGGTTTTCAAAGGCAGAAGAATTTTTCTGCCAAATATCAAATTGTTCCTGCAGATAAGGCACCCAGAGTGTGTCAAAACTGCCGATCTAAATTTTCATGTCCACATGTCGTTACAATTTGGTATGTCATCAGCAATGTCTATTCTGTACGTGTCAGACATCAAAGGCGAGAGGCACAGGCGGGCTAAGGCTTACCTTCCACGTCGCGGCGTTGCGTCGGAAGTAGGCAAACATTCGCGTGAACCAGTTGTAGATTTCATTTAGTGTTAGCTGTTTTTCTGGAGATTCGAGGATGGCCTTGTGAAGCAAAGCGATTGCAAGATCAGTTACGAGCACACCCGTAAAAAATACACTCACAGTTTTACTTTACGAAACATAGAAAGGAAAGAAAGGAAGAACGAATGAAAGAAAGAAGAGATCTGGAGCAAAAAATCCAAAGGAGGGTTTTCACAATATGAACTAAGATTAATGGCTGTATTTAACAGTTCAATGGCAAAATTCAAAATGGAATTATCTAATTGTTTTGAGTTTTTATTTCTGTTTCCTTACAGAAATATTAATTTATTAGTCATTCATAAAGCAGAATCAAAGAGAAATGCAAAACATTTCACTAGCTGATTAAAGCTCAGTAATTATTTAGAGCTCAGATTAATTCTAGGGATCAGAGATTACTGTAGCTTGTGATAATTGACTTGCCATCTTTAAACAGGCTCATTTTCACTGTTGTGTGAAATGAATTTCCTAATAATCACATCGTATTGTAATACTTAATCAAAAGCAATTATGTTATATATTGCAGTTCTAAAAACCCTTATAGTAAAGGTTTGAGCATTTGAGCACGCTTACATACCAAAGGTTTGAAAATCTATTTAATCCAGAGTGTGCACATACAGGGAGATTTTTATTTTTTCCTAATCCAAACGCCTGTGTTGGAACTCAGCTTACCTGTCTAATTAAAGATGCATACGTGAATGGTGGTCTAACTTCTGCGTTCTTATAAAATTCTTGGTTCTGGGCAATATCTGCTAAATAAGAGCAGTTGTTCCGTTATCATCCCAGCCCGCCGCTGCCAGGCTGCGGGCGACAGCGAAGCCGCCCCACCGCAGGGGCTGTGTCACCAGAACCCCTTTACCTGAAGAAATGGGGACGTTGTATTTATCCGAGTACCGCCTCCGGATGGGTCCGACGTTGTGCATGCTCGTGGTAGTGATGACCGACGGTCCCTGCGTGACGGGAGTGATGGGCGCAGTCGGGGTGGTGGGGGTATGAGGTAAGCTCTGCGGAGACGCCTCGGATGCCGTCTTGGAAAGCGTGACGCTCGATACCAGATTCAGCTGCGGAGGGAAGGATGAGGATTTCGTTACAAACGGCGTTTCTGCCTAATTAAAAGTGGCAGAGGAAATTCTCGGTAACGGGGTCTTCCTCAGTTCGAAGTGGACAACGCAGCCCAGCACGTGCTTTGGCACAAAGTGCTGTTGTAACATCTCCGTTAGGAGCCAGTAAAGGGAAACAAATATATACATTTCCAGACAGATTTAAAAAAAAAAAAAAAAAAGAGTAATGTAAGCCTGCTGTCAGAACTACAGATTGCGGATTTTTATCTAACCCTTAAACCAAGATCTCACACAGTACAAAATAATTATAATATTTTACTTTAGCTCCATTGTTTCACAATCTAAACCTTGCACATCTCTTATTTCCATGCTATTATTATGCATGGCTTCTAATCAATCTTCTTGGATATTTCATTGAAGGCATCAGGCTTAAAATAAAAGGCAAGACTTTCCTAGGGACGTACGTACTAGGGAGAAACGCAATCTCTCTCTTCAGTATTTGGGCTTTTCTTTTTCCTTCCCTCTGTTCATCCATTTTAAAAGCAAAGCCCAGAGTAGGTTAACACTGGAATAATTGAATTAATCACACTGCATGAAATACTGCAAGCGCTCAGCCCAGCTGAAGTGCCACCACTCTTTTTCCTTCCTAGGACAGAAGGCATCGGTGTTACCCGCGCAAAGCCCGGCCCGGGCACACGGCAGCTTGCCACAGCAGGCTGTAAAACACAACTGCCTCTGGGACTGTGGATCAAACCCAGCTCCAACTCAAGTGTTTTCGATACACCAACCCTATTTATATAACCAGCATCCACATTCCTCCCTGGCCCTTTTCTATTTGCCCTACAACGTCCTTTGAAAGACGACGCTCCGTCTCAATAGGTCGCTCCTTTTTTGAAGTATTTTAAACAAACAATCCGATCTCTTAACTCCGACATCAGACAAGACGACTGAGAAAAGGGCTCTTTGACTACTTCCACATTCCCTTCCCTTAGGCCATTTTGCAAATAATATTGGTGAAATCCTGACCCCATTGAAGCTGGTAGCAAAATTCCTACTGAATTTAACAGGGCTAGAATTTTACAACTTTTGTTCGTGGTTAAAATTCCTTAAACCTCTTCAGATGAAGGGAAGGGGCACTGCTCAGCTATGTCCCCAAACGTCTCATGTTTATCCATAAGGCACCGTATTAATTTTCCTTGTATGAAAGTAACCAGATAAGAAAACTCCCATTAGCATCCCTCATATGCATTAACAGCCACAAATACCATCTCTTTATAAAAATAATAGGATTTATCCAAAACAAAGGTAGTGGAAAAGAAAGCGCTCCAACATTACAGAAAAGATACTACCACAAAAAGCCCATCGCCTGCAGAAAGGGCGCAGCTCAGCGACAGATAAACTGTGATTGCTCTTCCCTCGCGACGGTGCGACGCAGCAAGGCGAGGGAAGCCCCAGCCACAAGCGCCCGGCGCTGTACGGCTGGGACGGTGCATCCGC